GTACTATGATTTTTCCCGCTTTTCCAATACACCTTACTTAGCATCACTGAATCACAGTTTCTATTGTGTTCCTGAATTACTTAACTTCAGTCTGTCTAACATTCTTCAGTCCCCTTTGGCCCCACATAATCTAAATAATTCATCATTTACAGATTCTACCACTTTCCTACCCAACTCTTTCACCTTTCCAGTACATTAGTAAAGCCACATGAGACCTAGTGCAATATATGAGACCTTCTGCTGTAACTTTTGTCACATTAAAAATCACGCATTTAATTTAGCTCTGTATTCTGCCTACTACTCCATTTTTTGACCCAATGATTAAGTAATTCATTTCACTGTCTGCTCTCATTAAAAAAAATAAAGACTAAAGTTGCAGTGAAAGGAGACAGGTCAGCCATACATAAAGAAACAAATTAGGTAAGAAAAGAATTACCACTTAAAGAAAAAAAGTTTTACCAATCTTTTGGGGTTCCTATGTTGCAAGTCAATGAAAGACCATTAAATGCATTTGTTACAGTGGTATGGCAAAAATGTCACGGTCCCATTATATTCCTATTTACAGCATTCCTGTATATGGTTTTTAAAATCTATTTTAACAATATCAGGTTAGATGAATGCAGTTATACCAGTTAAAATATGTATTGGCATAACTTATTTGAATAGATTTACAGAAAGAAACTACACTAATGCAAGCTAGTGTATAAACACTCTAGGTGCAGATTATATTGTCTTTTTTTAATCCTTTGCAGGGATATCTGAAACAGCCACATAGCTAGGATCAAATGGATTCAATCAATACCAAGAAAGGTTCATTCTCAGTGGAGATGACTCACCTTGCATTACTTACACCGCAATCCAACTTCCCAGGAAAGTGGTCCTCACCCCTACCTTGGGCAAATTCAAGAGGAGGTTGGATGATCACCTGTCTGGGGTCTTGTGAACCCAGCATTCATTCCTGCCTGTGGCAGGGGGTCAGGCTAGATGATCTGTTCAGGTCACTGCTGACCCTAGCTACTATGCAACCATGAAACTATGAATCCAAAAACCTAGAAAAAGACATTTTTATCAAAAAAATAGAAACTCACCTGGCTTAAAGAATAAAGGATCATTTTTAAATATCTTCAGTGAATCAATCACACTTTCAAATTTTTCCTTCAAGTAGTACTCTTCATGCTCAAATTCCTTGTCTCTCTTGCCTAATTTTGTATTTCGGCCTTTGACTTCACCTTCATGTTCTGACTTAACTCTGGCAAATTCAATTTTTTCAGTGGCTTTATTTTGTTTTTCTTTTAGTTCCTTCTCCTGGTTAGACTTTGTTAAATCTTGTGTTAGCTTAAGGGCTTTGTTACTTTTTTCCTTCTCTTCCTTTACTTTTGCAAGATCTTTTTCATAGTGACGGATTCCACTTAAATGTGAAGCTAACAATCTTGTAGTGATGGTGACCTAGGATAAAAGACACTTGGTATGATAAATTGCTTCATTTAACATTACATACTCAGAGGAAAAAATGGCAAGGATCTACAAGAAATCCAACTTTAGAAAGTTAATGCTACTCCGGAGACAAAAATCCAGTGTTCCTTTTTCAAGCAGTTTGCATCGCTACCTACCTTTATTTCTTTAAAGGGCTTCTGGAGTACTATACAAATAAATAATGGTGTATATTTGTGTACGAATGTGGGTGGGAAACAAAGGGACCAGACAGACATGAAATGTAGGCAAACAAAGGCTACAGAACAAACGGTTTAATTACCTTTTCACCTTCATATACTTTTTCTGGAAATTCAGGAACGTATTTTTGCACTGGAGCATCCAAATCCAGTTTTCCTTCTTCCCACAATTTAGCAACAGCTGCCATTGTTAGACACTTGCTAATGCTAGCAATTCGCATGACTGTCTCTGGTTTACAGGTCACACGATTTTCTACATCAGCATAACCCAGACCTGCAGGAGTACAAAAAAGGTCATTATTAATATTTTATAAACAGAAAGAATTTGCAAAATTATTAGCTTTGTGATTATTTGCAAAATTGCAAATTTACTTGAGCAACTCCAATAAATACTCTTCATGCCTTTGTTTTAAGAGTACACAGTGTTGGTTTAGCTCTGCTCTCACAGAAATCAATTAAAACTTGATTTTTGTAGTACAACAGTTCAACTACGGCAAAGTGCTTTTGAAAATCTGAAGATTAATTACCCCTTTGATTAACTCTCAGAAATTAAAAATTATGTTGCTAAGTTGGACTGATGTTAAGTTTAAGCCAAAAATTACATTAATGTCAAAGACTCAAAAAACCCCAAAAAACAAAACCCAAACTACAACATAGATTGTAAATCAAGTTAAGTGGGTGATGTCCATACATGTCTCTCTTGCTATTAGTAAGATTTTCAGAAATCAGTAAAGCTTGCCAAAATACAAGGAAAGAGAAAACAGAATGACAAGCATCAACTGCTTAAGGATTCTTCCTCTAAAAAAGCTAGAATTTAAAAGCCTGTTCTGTACTTTCCATGTTTCCCTCCCTAGTCTCATAATACTATTTTAAGAATGCTGGAGTCAGTGTCAGCCACATCCCAAATTGCACTCATGAGATTATCCTATTTTTTGCACCTCTGTGGAACAGCACATGCAAAAATCTAAAATAATTATTTGGCATAATGCCTTGGAATTTCAGTTGTGGATCAGACTAAGACCAGTACTTTGAACAGAACAAGTTCTGCCTTCTAAAATAAAGAGGTGGAGGCATAGTTGCTTTGTGGCCTAAAATCCGACTGGAGAGCTCCAGGTTGGAAGATTTGTTCTATCCACCAGTTAATAATACCATATTTTTTTATGAGAGCTTTGCTTGAGGATTGTAGTGTACATTCATCTTCCTTGAACCACAGTTGACTAGGAAGCCTATGCCATAAACCCTCGGGGAAGTAATTTCAGTAATAAGTGATAACTCAAAATAAAATTTCTAGCTTGGCCTCATCCTCTTGAGTTCAGCTGCTTGCGGTGTAAGTGATATCAGTGACTATTTTTTTGTTTAGAGAGTAACTTCTCATCCCACTTAACCTTATGAGAAACTCATGGAAGGTGGATCTTGCAAATGAAAGCACGTTTCCTCATCCCCTATTTTAACCCAGCTCTAAGTTCGTACATCTGCTATGCATAAACGGGGCGTTTTTATACATGCTCTGGGTGTAGGTGCTTTAATTAAAGCAGCTCCGAGGGCCACTCTAATTAAAGCAACCTCAGTGTTTCATGCACCAGTGTCCCCATGCTTCAAAACGGCGGCAGGGCGCTTTAACTAAAAACTGTTAAATGAATCCTGCCACCATTTTGAAGTATAGGCACGCTGATGCATGAGACGCAAAGAGTGGCTGGAGCACGCAGACTCAATTCATCACATCTGCTCCGACATGCTGTAATTTCAGTGCTTCAGAGCAGCCTCCTGACACATCTACAGACACCCAAAGTGCATTTATACACATGCTCTGGGAGGGGAGAGGGGCACTTTAATTAGAGTGTCTCTAAGAGCCGCTCTAATTAGTGCCTGGAGTGTCTTGTGCATCAGTGTCCCTGCACTGAAAAATGGTGCCAGGAAGCACTTTAACTAGTTCAGGGATGGCTTGCCAAAACTAAGTAAGCGGCCCTCTGCCTGAAATAATTGCCCACCCCTGGGCTAGATGCTGGAGCACAGTAGTTACCACCTCCGCAGACCTGATTAACCAAGTCTGCTCTGATGCACTGTAATTACAGTGCAAGGGAGCCCCTCCCCCGCAGCTGGTGTACAGGCTCCCCAACTCTCTCTCCCCATTTCTAAGTATGGTGCATGCACAGCCCC